GGTTTAGAGGTTTAGGGGTTTAGGGTATTGAACCCCCGCTACCCGTAATGTTGCATACTCGCTCTAAAAGTCCTTTACATTGCAGGCCATATTTGATGTAGGCATGGTGGGGGCTCTGAACCCTAAACCCAGCTAGCATGAAGGGATTACCTTTGTTCAGCCTGCGGGAATATCGCTAGTTTTTTGGGGCTATAGTCTAAACACCTAGTATCCCCTTTCATCGCCACTTTGTAGTCCCCTATATAATACCCTATATCTCCCCTTTAGCCTTGGAGGAGCTGAGAGTATATTTCATTTGGGCTTGGGGCACCCTGAGCCGTTGTAGGTTGGGTTCTGTGTCGAGTAGCTACAGCTATACCAGCTATACCCTAAACCCTAAATCCTAAGAACTACCTAACCCTAAACGCCCAACCCTACCGATGAAGTGTCAGGAAGTCAAGGCTCAGTTGAGCCGTAATCTAAACTGCTTGAAGGGGATACTAGGAGTTTAGGGTTTCAGGTTTAGGATTTAGGGTTTAGGGTTTAGGTTCAGACTATAGCTCAGTTGGGCTCAAGCAACCCTTGCTTAGTCCATCTGCCTCTTGTCTCTTGTAGCACAGCCTTCCATTTCCGCGGGGCCGGCAAGCCATGAGGTTGTCAGGTACACCTGGGTGTTTGTTTTGGGTTTAGGATTTGGGGCTTAGGGTTTAAGATCTCTGGCTTAGGGTTTTGAAGATAGCTTCGGTGTTTTATATTCAAGCCCAATAAGGAACAAAACGTCTTAGTTTGGAACAAGATCCGCAAAAGGCCAGGGCTGGGCTTGTGGGGGGCGCCTGAATATCAGGTGTACAGAACTGGTGTGTTTCTGTGAGAAAGTACATAGTGGATGAATTTGGGCAATTTTGAGGGGCGGTCTTAAGAGCGAATTTGCTATGCCTCTATGCCCCAAAGCGTTCAGGTAAAGTATCTGCTTCAATACTCAAGGTGGATTCGGGGCTTTGAGGAATGCCAATTGCCCTCTAAACCCCAAAACCTAAAATCCTCAACCCTACCCAGCATATTCTGGCATAGAGCCAACTACTCGGCAAAGAACAAGCCCGCACGTTCAGCACACCCCTTCGACAGATGTTCGGTGCCAACTGAATCTAGAGTCTCTAGTGGTCCCTCATGCTGAGGATCCGAATACCTAGGGGTGAGAAAAATGTTCAGCGGCAATCATCTAGAAAGGTGATCGAGGTTTTATGGGAGGCACAAATTCCACTTCTTGCTTAAAAAGGCATAGGAAAGGTCCCCTTCGGCCCAGCAAATCGCTTCAAACGCAAACATGCCAATATTATGGTTCCATATTATTTGTATATTTACTGTCTACGGTGCCTCAAATGGACCTCAGAATGATATTGGTGATTATTATTTAGGCCCGTGTAGTTGGGGAATGCCTCAAAATCTGGGCTCTTTCTTTCTGATCTTAAGCACCCCCGACACCCTCGATGTCCCTCAGACACAAATATGCGCCAGAAAGGATGATGCTTGTATGTATGTATGTATGTATGTATGCATGCATGCATGCATGCATGCATGCATGCATGCATGTCTGTATGTATGGGGGACATGTTGACTGATAGGGGTGGGCGCAGTTTGTAATACTTGTATGGAGGGACCTGTTAGCGTCTACGTTCTCCAACACCCTTCACTTCAAGCCCGTAAGCTTTGATTCCAAGCATTGACCCGCAGCCAAAAGCCCAGATAGCTCAAGCAACTTTAGGGCTTCGAGTTTAGGGTTCAGGGTTCGGGCTTAGGGTTCAGGGTTTAGGAACTTGAAAGCGGCTTGCGTGCTCATACTCGCGGGGTACAGGCAACTCAGAGTCAACCAGCCCAGACTACGAACTAACATCTTAGGACCTTTAAACCCCAAAATGAATCCTAAACCCTAAACCCTTCTCCACGTTCATGCGGCTGAGCCCTGAAACCCCAAGCCCTGCAGCGCTAGTCCTTCAACCCTGCACCCTAAACCTCAGAACCCTAAACCTACCGTGAGGTATACGGAATAACGTTGCGTACAAGAAGTGAATTGCACGACAGAACCCAAACTTGAGAAGGACCTTCAGGGTCCAGTTACTCTAAACTCGAAGCAGGTTTCGCGTTCCCTTTGCTTCTCTTGCCGGTCGCCGCAGTTGCCGAGTCTGAGGCACGTACCCCTCATAGGGTGTTGGCGGATTTGGGGAAGAATCTGCTTATAACTCAAAGAGACTCCTGCTGTTTGCTTGTATGTGCAGCCCGCAGGATCTACTAAATCCCAAAAGATTTGGTACGAGGTTCAATGCAAGCTTGTCATCTTTCAGTCGGCGACCTCAAGCAACACGTCGTTGGTGGTGGCGGTTTTGGAAGTGGAATAACAAAATGATAGTGGTAGCGGTGGTGGTGGTATTTGTTAGTAGTAGTACTAGTCATACTAGTAGTAGTAGTAGTAGTAGTAGTAGGAGTACTAGTAGTAGTAGTAGTAGTAGAAGTAGTAGTAGTAGTAGTAGCAGTAGTAGTATAGTAGTAGTAATACTAGTAGTAGTAATACTAGTACTAGTAGTAGTAGTAGTAGTAATAATAATAGTAC